AATTACGGTCTTGTGGGAAATCTTTGCCTAAAGAGGGTGGAAAGGTGCCAGCATTTGAAGGTGTGCAGCCTCTTGTGCTGAAGGGACTTATGTCCACTGTCAGTCATGGTTCTGCAATCGAGGTGCTATCTCGAATGACTGTTCCTTACTGCGACTCTATATATGGGAGCCCGGAGACACGGCTTTTAATGCACACCACAGGCTTACTGCCCTGGCTTGCCTTACAGCTAATGAAGGATCCGATTGCCACAGACTCGGTTACACCTCTTCGACTTCAGTACCAGAAAGCATGCTCTGTTGCTTCTGACCTTTCATTTTGGTGTCGTGCAAAAGCATTAGATGATCTTGCTGAAGTGTTTCTAGCTTATTCTCATGGTGAGATCACATCCAGTGAGGACCTCTTTGCCTGTGTATCTCCACCAATTTGTTCTGCATGGTTCCCCAAGCACTCATCTTTAGCATTTGGTCATTTGCTAAGGCTGCTTGAGAAGGGTCCTCTGGCTTACCAGAGGGTGGTACTATTGACGCTTAAAGCACTGCTGCAGAAGACTCCAATGGATGTGGCACAGAGCCCACATGTGTATGCTGTTGTCTCACAGCTTGTCGAGAGCACATTATGTTGGGAGGCGCTTGGTGTTCTGGAAGCACTTCTGCAAAGTTGTAGCAGTGTTGCTGGTGGCCACATGGACGATCCGGGATCAAATGAAAACGAGTATGATGCAAGTGACAGAGTCTTACACGGTATGTTGGCACCACAGAGCTCATTCAAGGCACGAAATGCAACCCTACAGTATTTGGGTGGATCTGCATTTGGAACTGGATTACCAGCTCAAGGTGCTGGGTCAACAACTGATGGTGGTTTGTCGGCAGGAGAGGTGGCACTTCAGAATACTCGTTTGCTTCTTGGTCGTGTGCTGGACAGTTGTGCGCTCGGAAAGAAGAGGGACTTCAAGCGTCTTGTTCCCTTTGTTGCCAGTATCGGGACATGAAGCACATCCGATGCTAGCAATATTATGCAACAATGTTGAATGATCCTTGTATGGTCTCTTTTTGTCCCGAGGCATATGGCAACTGCCCCCAAAATGGGTTTAGGAGCAAGGCTCCTGCTCCATTGAAGTTATCTACACCGAGGAAGGCACCAACGAATGCTGCTATTCGACTCGGATGAACTGGAATCCTGGCACTGGATCCAGAGGTATCGATGATGTTGGTGGTAGTCGTTTTAATTTTTCATGAAGCCTTTTTGCAGTTATTACTACCAGAATCTCCTCTAATTTAATATCTCATTATATTTTTGTCCTATGAAGCATCTTGGTCTCACATTTTGATGAAAAAGTATGTGGGCACATTTCATCGGCTTATTTAATAGACTAAGTGATTCGGAAGTCTTGGTCGACATCCTAATTCAGCGTATTCCCTCCTCCTCGGAGAATCTGAAATGTTTTATCTTTTTGTATAAATGTAAAGTCTCCCATGTATTTATGGAGGCTAATGGTATGGCTAATTGGACGGCATCAGGGCACCAAAACTACTAATTTATGGTTTGCTGTGATGTGAACAGCCATATTTATTTCCATTATAATTAGTAAAATTTAATTTCTTTTGTCTGAAAAAAAAGTGCTATGATGACCAAAATCCAAGTATGCATCTCACATCATCAATCTAGTAATCGAACTGTCTCTTGGGTTGTTTGGCTCACTGTTTCCTAAGCATCATCACTTACTATTGGAAGTCTCATGCCGTCTAAAAATCCGTAGTCAACATCAGCTGTTGCATCCTGCAGATGTTGCTCTTGACAACGGCGTTCCGTCGAAATGTCGATGCTTGCTGTTGTTTTAATTGGATGATATATTTTTTATTGTCTTTTATTGTATTAAATTTTCTGATGAATGAATTAATCTGATGTCCGTCTGTGAGGTCACTTTCATACGTACCTACGTGATTAATAATTGAAGGTGCATATTATGTTGATTAGCTGGTTCAAGATATTAAATACATGTTGACTATACCCACCGGTTCTACTTAAATCACCGAACGGGTGAAGAATCATTCTAAGAATAGTCAACAAAGGATGAGACTGTGTGCATTAGACGTCTGCCATTAAATTTTAGAACCATGTTTCTTGCACGCAATAGCATTGCTAGTCGTTGCGAATTAAGTAGATAATGCTACTTGGTTTTAGTACCATGTAGAACGTTAGCTAATGGCTACCACCAACCATGTTGGATTATATATATAGAAGCTCTCACATTCACGGATGGCGGCTTCGTCTAATAAGACGCCGAACAAACTATTTGTCGCATCATAGAACATCTTGTGGTTTGTGTTCCACAATTGAACTCCAAATTTTACGATGGTTTTTTTCTTTTTCATTTAATCCCTACACGGTTTGAAAAATGAAATTTGTTAGTATATTTCAACAAATAAGTGTTCTAAATTTGTTAGTACATTCGAAAACAATGGCTCTTAATGCTTTTAGTATCCTAATAGGTGTTCACATATATACCAATATAATAAATAATTCAGGGCAAGTTTTATGTTCTGTAGGTATATGAATATACTATTGTTTGATAGATTGGTGGAGTCCATTGAAGCAATGCACCGACTGTTTGCGTTGGGATTTACAATATCTATTGTACCCGATGAGAGTATTAGTAAACTTACGAATAAGATGGCTATGTGATATAAACAAATATGATTGGCCAATTGGAGACTCAAACAGGCAGAGCCAAGACAGCGAGGACAGGTCGACTACTATAAATAAAGGATTCTCCGAGTGCCATCAATATATATGAATGATTCTTCGAGTTCTTGGACCTGTCTTATCTATGATCTCATCTGAGGTATTCTTTTAAGTTGAACATCGCTGGGATCTTGTCGAATAAGGTTTGCAATAGGCATAAAAAAATTGGATCAAGAACCGAACTACTCACCTAAGTTGGAGAATCACTCTAAATCAATCAGAAGCTATTCTCCAGAATTTCTACTCATCTAAATGGAGGTTTTATCTTAGGATTCATGCAGATTCAAATTTCAAACACAATAAGATTTAGAAAAGTGGATCAGGCAAGATCGAAAAGACAATAATAAAGGTTTTAGAATGATAATTAAGAAAGTCCTTTCTATCAATGTAATCTTATAATGAATCCTATTTAATTGAATTTTCTTTTTATTGACCGATACCGTCATCAGAATTCAATTATATCTATAATATATTTTATTTAATTAAATAAGATCATATAATTGGTAAGATATAAAAAATTAAAACTAAAATAAATACAATAAAATTTATTTAAAATAAATTTATCTAATTGGATTCTAAAAAAATTTAAAATATTTTATACATGATCATGAATCTTAAAACAAGCTAATAAATCCAATAAGCACAATAATACTACATTAAATCTAACTACTAATATGAGTCATAGCGGTTATATGTCATCAATGTCATACTCTCTTTTATATATCAAAATACTATTAACCTTTCATGATGTAGTTCATAATGACTCATATAATTTATTTTGTCAAGATAATTATATTATTACATTAAATTATAGTATGTATAAACATAAATATAAATAGAACAGTAATAATAAATAAATTTAATTAAGTAAAAAAATATCAATAATAATATCCATTTGAATATATATCACCATTTTTTTTTATGACATACTCAAAAGCTCCATTCTAAAAATATATTATTTAAATATTTTAGATTATAAAACTTTAATAAATAGATCAACAATCATTGACATGGTAGTCAGGTTCTCAATTGATGGTATTCAGGTTCTCAATTGATACTTGTTGTTTCTAAATTTTTTCTCTTATTGCTAAATATTTTATTTCGATGTACTATTAATCTTATGTCACCTCCAATTATTGACTCAAAATACAATAATCCAAGTTGGTCATTGCCAACTTCGCATGTACTTGAAGCATATTTGACAACGAGACAAATCCTATAATGTATGACCCGTTGCAAGAAATGGACAAATGTCTTGAGAATATGATGTACAAAATTTAACTCAGTAAGAAAACCAACCAAGCTAAAGTTGATTTGGCATCCCTCTTTATTCAATAAATATAAGATGGAAACTCATGCTCCGAGCTTCTATTTATCAAACTTAGATACATTCAGTAGAAGTACCGACCTCATAAACATGTGGCCATGTTCAAGTCTGAGTGACCCTATATGAAACTTATGATGTACTTGTGTTTCGGTTATTCCCTCCACTCTGTAGGGAAATGACAGGGAGTGCTACTCCGTTCTCCCTCAGCGTCCATCTTGTCATTCGGGTAGCTATCAAAAGAAGAATTTGAGCTCCACTTTAATAGCAATTGATGCTTGAAGAAGACTAATGTAGCAAAATTGATAGTTTGGTATGGAGATGATAGGTTCTTAGCGTCAGGAAACATACGGATACGGAGGCATCATATGCATAGTAAAAAACAAAAAATTAAAATTAATTTTCTAAAATAATGATATAGGAACATCATTGGTAGTGAAAAACTCAACAAACAAAAAATCGCATAAGATTCGTGAGATGTTCTCACCTAGAGGAGATCGTATATCCCCATAAAACATAGATCCTAGTATGTGGATGAAAGAGGTCAGATATCCTTCGCTCTAGCGATGATCCACATGACAAATGATTCAACGATGCACCTCCCTTTGTAGCTTAAATCCTCATAACTTTCGTGCTCCATCTTGTAACAGTAAACAAAGAAGGGTCGACCTCTTCTTTGTTGTCCTCGCACATCACCAAAGGGTTGTCGACTGAGGAGGAGGAGAGAAGAGAACAGGAGGATGCGGCCAAAAGGGGTCTAGCGTTTGACCATTTGGCCTCTCTCCTAATTATAGAGGTCCTTGTCAATTTAATCATAATGGATCATATCTTAATGGTTATTAGATCTCTATTTAATCACCCTAAGCCTCTTGGATTAATAGATCTTTATTCAATAATTACTATTTGCTCTTATTGGGTCTCACCCAAAAGATCTAATAAAATAAGGAATCATCATATATCTCATATTTAATACTCTACTCGTCGTGACATCTACCATATGTATGTGACCCTTTAGGCCCAATATCGAGTTAGTCATGAGTTACACTTGTTAGAACTTCTCCCGATTTAGTGAATTATCATCCCATGATAATTCACTCAACTCATTGATGTTGGAAAATCTAGGGCGACATCACATGCATAGCGGAAGAATAGAAAATAAAATCTCAAAATTTTCTGGTAGAAAATAAGGTTTCAACGTCATGCAAAGATTGGTGCGCTGAAACTCATAAAGCCGAAAACTGCACATGTAAGAAAGATGTGTTATATAGAGAGATCGTATATCCCTGAAAACTTATAGATCTGTGGGAGAGGATGAAGGAGATCAACCGTCCTTCTCTCTAGTGGTAATCCATATGGCAGGGGCTACGAAAACACTCCTCAAATCGCTACCCAAATCTCTTCCTCGTGTGCACCACGCAATCAAGAAAGAGTTGTCCTTTCTTGCTGTCCACACTTGGTATGGCCTTCGCAACCAAAGTATTACTTAGACGCAATGCACTGTAACCATGCTAAGCGTTAGATACCAGATGCAACTATCCCGATCGAAGAATTTCTATGTTTGTAATGTATCCGAGCCGAATAAACTGATTACCCCATGTACGCGTTGCACATTGAAAAGAGCGATGATTTGTAATATTTTGATGATATGATGCTATGATAAACTTACATAAGATTACCCTTCATTAATTTGTATACGAAGTTATGTGTACTTGAGTATTAAGTATTGTAAATTTTGTATAATTAATATAACTAATAAGAGAATCATACAGTATTTTCTGAAAGTACTTTAACTGCAAATATAGATATTCCATAATATTACATATTGCATAATTTTTTTGCATTTTATAGACTAATAAAATTTATTATTTTGGCTGTCATCCATAAGGTAAAGCAAACTATTATATTATTGTGATCGTCCATTGCAAGCCAACATTATGTTATATCACTGTGGTTGTCAGTTGACTATTATATTATATCACTATTACTATGATTGTGCTGCATACTCAGATAAAATTATGACATGATGTTATACTAGTTAGATCTATTGTGATAACATGTTCTAATAACATGATGTTAGATCTATTATAATAGTTAATTAAGTATAGTAACATGGAATGATTATCTCCTATGTCGTTGCCCGATAGTTGGATGGTGAGGAAGAGGGGAGGTGGGAGGAGAAGAAGAGAATGATTAATTAAGTATAGTAATATATCATTATAGAAGAGGGGAGGAGAAGGTGGTGAGAGAACTATTTCTCGAGTAACATGTCACTATAATTGTTTCCATTGTCATCGCCCCTCTACTAAAGTAGTTGAATGACGAGGAACAAGGGAGGTGGGAGGAGGGGAAGAGAACTATTAATTAAGTACAGTAACATGCCAATATGGTTGTCCTCTTTGTTGTTGTCTTAGCCCCTCCACCATCGTACTTGGAAATCGAGGAAGAGGAGTAAGAAGAGCTGAAGGTGAAGGAAGGAAGAGATAGGGTTGACGAATTCACTGACCCAAATCGGTTAACTAATTCGAATCAGCTTAGTGAACAAGTTCAATAATAATAATAATAATAATTTGAATAGGAAGATAAAATTGATATTAGAAAAAAAAAAAACATCCCTCCGTAATTTTCCAATAAAAAACCACCATCCGATAAATATCAATTAGTAATGACTTCTCTTGATAAATTATTATTTTTAAATCACTCTGGTCAATTTCAGTGAGTTGTCATGTCGAAGAAAAGACAATGCTATCTAGATGTATGCTATTTGATTTTAGCAGTGTGTAGCTTGTAGCTAATAGCTACCAGGCAATCATGTGGAATTAATTAATTAATTATATATATATATACATATATATAAACGTTAAACAAATTAACTATTTATCATATTGTAAAATTATTACGTAATTTGAAAAAGAAATATGGTACACTTGCATAATTTTTAAATGGTTTTTTATATTTTATACTAGCGTAATTTAAAAATGACATATTTGTCATTACAATTTTCAATAAGGCATTGTATTATTATTATTTTTATTTTGGAACGATTAGGAGGTGAAATTTTTTTTTATTATCAATCAATGACTGAACATTAAGT